GGGGGGGGGGGAGATCTAAAATGATTATAAGGAGAAAGAGAGGAACAACTAGAGCAAAATTCTATTCATGTAAAAATCTATTTATTAGGCGATAAAATATTACAGTAAATGTTATTAGCTGTCAAAAGAGCAAGAAAAGGAACGCTATTTCTGGTTTTTTTTCTCTTTTTTTAGTTTATTGAAGGATTTTTTTTATACACTAAGAGAGAAAGAGACGTTTAATACCATAAAAGGCAACATTTGTTTGTCACATTATTCAATTGTTCGTTTTTGTATTGTCAGTCACAATTTTCGAGTACATTAGGCCAAGAAAAAGGGTAAATTATGCTAATTGATGGGCAAGTAATGTCAAAGAATAGTGCCAGTCAAGAAAGTTTATAATATCTGTATTTAAGACGTTACTGTACTGGTATTGTAGACCGTTGATTATGTTTACTAATCGTTTTCACTTGGTCAGTGTGATGAATATGTACAAAAGAAAAAACATTTCCTTTTATTTTCTTGGATAAGTATAAAATATCTAAATTAAAGTACTCAAAGTGAAGTGCTTTAAATAGGTTGATGTAATTTTAGGATACCTATGACAGCCAATATCCGACAGCAAATCAGCAAAAAAAAGTTCTTGTCGACGACACAAGAATTGTTTGGCAAAGTGACATTCGACACGAAAGACTTCAGAAACCAACTGTAAGCCACAATCAATTTAAATAGTGTTGTTTTAAGGCCTTCTTTTGATGATCCTTACAGAACAGTCAACAATAACGATAACAAAGAACAACAAATGATCACTTGAGATTGACAATTATCAAATAGTTAGTTGATCATTTTAGAACGAAATATTACTTTCTGAAATTATTGCTTATAATTTTTTCTGAAAACAACAGGTCATTCAACAAATACAATCATTTGTTTACAAAACCAATGGAATTTTCAGTCTTATTGAACCATTTTTTTAGTATTGTTTACAGTTGTACTGTGTAAGAGTTGTTTGAGAGAAAAACTAGAAAAAATGAACGGTGAAAAAGTTTGAACAAAAAACTTTGCCCACCTCTGTGTTGACTTTGTGCTTTTGCTGGTATCTTAGTTTTTCAACTGGTGACTATTTTCAAGAAAGCAATTAACTGATTACAGTTTAGTTTTCATTAAATTGAATTTTTTAGGAGTTGAAAGAGTAGAGGATGAATGAAGTAGGTGTAAAATAACATTCTCGTTTATTTTCATCATTTTTTCCCTTTTTTTTTCTATTGCATTTCAATGAAAGTCATTATAACAGAGGCTTTCTGAGCTAGCAGCAGAGCAAATTAGTAGAGAGTGTAGAATAAGTGAATGAAGGGGCTTAGGAACGGATTTTTGATGGAATTAAGGTTGACGGTTCTCTTTTTTTTTGTTTTTATTGAACATGATATCGGATGTTCGGGAAAAAACGTATTTTTTTTTGTTTGATTTCCGGTTTACTCCATTTATTTCGTCTGAGCTCGTTCACTTATGGTCGACATTTGTAAACTCATTGATTCCTGACAATGATTTTTCGTCTCTGTTGTAACTTCATCTCTACAGCAACCTCTTAATAAACATCACTTAATGCTCTTTAATTCACAGAATTTTGATGATGTCATCGTGCCGTTTGATCCTCATTTCTTTT